CAAAAACAAAAACAAGAACGTACCCCTGCCCCTGTCCCTGCCAGCAAGCAGCGCATGAGAGCGAGAGAGTCTGTAGGATACGAGCCCGCCACGCCCATCATGTATTGTAATATTGGAGGCTAAGTTAACTGACCGATGACCCAATGGAACATGTTCGGCTTATATGTATATTTTTAATAAACGAATTACTTTACATGTTTACACCGCCGGGGAGTTTTTTGATTTGCCATCCCCATCCACATCCAGGCACACGCACATCCATCCCGCCGATAACATTTTGATCTTAACTTTATTTTGTAATACATATTTATACGTATCATGGACCAATTCGGTCATCGTATGTGTCTTGTATAATCATTTCATTTCACTTTCTTTCTGCTTTGTTTAACAATATTTTCACATTTTGTTTGTGGGGGGGGGGGGCTAAATAGAATAGAGTAAAAATCTCTTACGGGGAGTGGGGGGGGAGGGTTATTTACTAATGCCCAAGCACTGAATAAATCAGGAGAATAATCAAGAATGTGTTCACTTTGCACTTACGATTACAATCGAAATTAAATTGACACAAACAAAAGTCGAAGGCCCACAACTTTCCTAACCATGGAATAATTCAATTCATTTCTCACACTTTCAATTTGGATACGAGTACGCTTCCGGGGATAGTATTTGTATCTGGTACAAAAGTAGGCCTGGTCGAACGCTCTGCTTGCACTCTGCCTCTGCCTCTGCTCCTTGTTGCATGCGGATTGGGTGTGCTAGTTTAGGGTGATGCCGGCAAAGGATACCTCGAGGGCAGCATCGCTGGACTCCATGCGACTACGCAGATGCGCCAGCGTGTTCTTGTAGTGGCTCTCGATCTGTTTGGTTTCCTCGCTGGGCTCCAGATTGGGCAGCTCCTCATTCACCTTGGCAATTAACTGCAAGCCAAAAAAATGTACTTTAGACCCCTGGGGCACTGCTTTTTCGTGCGTGCGACCTAATCACCTGATTCAGCATGGCTACGGTTATGAGCGAGTTGCCGCGCTCGAAGTAGAAGAGATAGTGATTCAGCAGCTCCACATACAGCTGCACCTGCACTCCCGTGTCCAGGCACTGCGAGGCAATGCGAGCGCCCTTCTTCAGGCAGTCCAGAGTGCGCTTCTCGTCGCGCATCTCCTCGCCGTTTTGCCTAGCGATGCAACATGAAAGTTAAGCAATTATTCAGAACAAAGGACTATCAAGGCGCTTCTTACTTTCCGCTCCAGAAGAGAGCTGCGCAGGCAACCACACCGCGACACTGATCCGGTTTTTTCAGCAGCTTGGACGCCGCCAGAGCACAATTCGTACGGAGGGGTTCGGCGTTTTCCTCGCCGAAGCAGGACATCTGCTCGTACGTGGACATGATGAGCGTGATGGCAGCCAGCTGAGCCTTCGAATCGGATATTTCATCTTCGTAGAGGGAGAATGCCTGTGTCATGAACTCGTAGGCTACAGTCTCGTGGTTCGTGTAGCGGATCTCTCCAATGACCAGAGCACCCTGCAGGTACAGACGCAGCGCCAGATCGGCCAGATCCGCCTTGGCCAAAGCGCTGATGGTGCTGTGGCAGTACTGCACGATCTTCTGGCACTTTTTGTCCCAGTTCTCATCCTGCTCGGCGATCGCCTTGTATTTGAAGGCCAGCTGGTAGGCAGCGAATACGAGCGGAGGCAGGACATGCTTCAGTCGCTGACCGCCACCATTCCCCAGATGCTTGCGCGCTGTTTGCAGCATTTTGTATTGCATGTCCGGCTCATCAGAGCGCATCAGGTGAATGAAGCTGAAGCAAGAGAGGGCCACTAATTAAAGAGGAATTTAAAACGCATAGCGATATTTACTTACCGCGCCACGACTCCTTGCTCTTCCGCAAACTCTTCGGCATCTGTGCTGCTGGCGCCAGCTGCCGCCAAAATGTCCTTATTCGCCTCATCATCCTTAATCAGCGGCGTGATAATGGTCAAGAGGCTGTCTGCCTGATCGGCCGTTGGCACCTGAGTCTCGTTCTCCAGTATGTTCATTACCAGATAGAGGGCCAGCGATTTGCGTGAAGTGTAGTCGAACTTTTCGAGCAGGGGACAAAAGTTGTGCAGCTGGATGATGGTCAGGGCATTATTGTAGAAGTCAATGCAGATGCGCAGCAGGCGGGACAGTTCCTGGTTCACTGACAAAAGGTGCGAGATGCTGCAAATAAGGGAAAGTGAATTGACATTCGTTCAGGGTCTTCATCAGCCTGAGGAGGATCCCTTACTTGTTCATGTTCATTCGTTGCAGTATTTGTGCGGTTGTGCCCAGCACCTTGTCCACGTAGTCGATGCGATCCGGATACACTTTCTGGGCCAAACTCAGCAGAGCCACCTGCAGCGAAATGGTGTCCTCCAGTGGCATGTCCATGCGCATCTGCACAATGTGGGCCACCTGCACGCTGAAGACCTCGAACAGCTCCACCTCGGCGGGAATGATGGCATCGATGCCATTGCCGCTTGTCTACAGGAAAAGGAATGTAAGTAAATACTGGAATTTGGGTCACCTATAGAGGATATTACCTTGCCACTCCTCTGGTTGTAGGCAGCCAGGCGCTCAATCAACGATATAATTATGTTCTTGACGTTCACACCCGTCTCCAGCTGGGCGCAGGACTTGAGGAATGGGTCCAGCGTCTGCAGATGGAACTCATCGGGAAACACTTGGATGATGCACTCCATGAGATACTCCTGGGCAATGGCATCCCGACAGCTAACCACCTGCTCCAAGATTCCGGGTAGAATGAGCCGCTGGTACGTCTCCAGGGTGGCCGACTCCAGCTGCGAGAGACGCACCAGGTTGGTGCCCACCAGGATCTTGAGCTCCTCGCGCTCCTTCTCCCGCCTGGTCTTCTCGCTGGAGTGTCCCTGGTGCTGCATGCGCACCCACAGTTTGTTCATCTCGGCAAAGTTCGTCAGCACAAAGTCAATGGCATCGTAGACATTGCCCTCGTGCTCGTTGTCAGCGACCATCACATCGGGCAGTATGTTGCGGGTGCACTGCAGCAAATAGTTGCGAAGGAACAGCCCCCTCAGGGGATGCTGCACGCCGCGGCACATCTCCACCAGATCCTTGAGGATGCTGCGCTTGAGCGTGGAGTCGTTCTTTATGTACACAATGCCCACTGTGATCAGCAAATACAGCCGGGGCACTATGGTGTGCGAGTACTGGACCAGCTCGTACAGATCCTTCTTTTTGTCACTCTTTTCGCTGAGATACAGCTCCAGATGGCACAGCTCATTGGTGACGGCCATGTCTGGGGGCAAAGAGCGAGCGTTATAATAAAGAAAACTTGTGTACGCGAAGATATTGAGTACTCACACAGCTCGTAATAGCTCTTGGGGGACAGCAGGGAAGTGCGCAGCTCACTCAGCATGGTGCTGGCACACTTGAGCGAGTCCAGCATTCGCTCCTTGTCCAGGAAGTGGTTCATCTGGAATGCCTGCTTGCGCGCTGCCCCGACGGCCTCGGCGAGCAGCTTTTCCTGGTCATCCAAACCATTTGGCATGGTCTGAAACGAGACATAGAAAGTGGAGTCGGTGCTGTTAGACCCTGGGTTTCGTCTAGCTCTCGTCGAGTTGGTGTTGGTGTTGGTAGAGTGCGAATACATGAGGGCGGGTTACAATGAGATCAAGAACACAAAATTGCTTCAACAGTACACAGCTGGAGATAAGCCTTCTTTATACAAATATCTACGGAAGTTTGGGCAGAGAGCAGAGTCAAGCCGAGGACACAATGAAATGATGATAAGACACATAACATTAAGCTGATTTTGGACGAATATGACACATTGAGCATGCAACTGCACACGTACATACAAATATGTACATTGCTATGTACGACTTAGTGCGATACCAAATTCAGCGTTTCGCATGGTGGGTTTAATTAGTGGCTGGAGTGAGTGTTAATTATTTACTTTACCCCATTCTGAGCAGGATTGGGAGCTTGGCCGCTGTACGAGGATGAGCTCCAGGGGTACATGGTGGGTGTGATGAGTGTTTGTCGGTTGGGGGCGTAGTTTTTGCTCCAGGTACGCTCGACTTTGACGTCGACAGAGGCGCAGTCAGCGGTTTGACTTTGCCCAATTTTCACTTGCTGGTTTCTTTTTTTTTTGGCCAATTCTCGCTTGCCGGCTTCTGGCGGCTACAATGCGGGGTGGAGCGCACTTACCATTACTGCAGCGTCAGGTGCGAATCGAAGATGGTGGGTTATTTAATTAAATAAAGTTTACTCTTTACTTTTATAGGGATGTTAAATATATTGATATATCAATATATCGATATACATTATAAGTTGATGTGATATTTAAATATTACATTAATGTGATTCGATATGGACATATTCTTGAGGGGATATATCAACGGAACAAATAATCTGAATCCAGTGCAAATCGGCGCTATTTGATGTTGTATAAATTCGTTAAATTTATTCTGACGATATACAAAATAGCGATAGTTTTGTGCGATTGGCAGAACGAGCTCGTCTCGTTTCTTCCCTCTCTAGGAATCAGATAAGCGATATTTTATATCTTGGTGATGATTATCATAAATATAATGGTGTAGGAACAATAATATAACACTATGCAACAATAAGCTGTGCTAAGAAGCTATAAGCTTACGAACAAACGAAATTATTCAGTTTAGTGTGATTCCATATGCTAAATTTTAAATTATTATGGGCGCCAAATAAAATTAGGTAACATACTTTTCCGCCAGATGTCTCTGTTGTCTCCTCCAGAAGCAGAGATAATAATTCTAATTCGATTTTTATAACGAAAACATCTGGAAAGTATTGTAGATTTGAACTCGGAAAATTCCATAATGCCAGCAAAAATTATTCACCTTAAAATATATTATAAAAATTACCTAATATATATCGATATATCAATTGAATATCTAATCAAACCTGCCTAAAAGGATGCGCTCGCTCCTCTCTCCGAATTGAAACCGTTAAACACTCGGGGAAAAAGGCACAGCTTTTTTATATTTTACATGAACAATAAATGTGCTGCGGGGTTGTGCAAAGTTCAACTATAGTTTTTTGTTTCACAAAAGTATAACAAAACGGAAGAGAGCAATCATCAGACATTATTGCTCCTGGCGTAGGAGTGCGTGCGTAGAGCGGAGTGCAGTGTAGTGCTGTGTGGATGCGCGCACAACAAAATATAAATAAGAAGGAAGGCAGACTCCGCACAGCAGCCCAAGCCCCCAGCCGCCCCATTCGTCGTCAATGTCAGTGAAGTTGATAAAAAGCGAAGTAAAAGGTCTTAATTGCTGCTGCAGTCAATAAATCATCAAACGAAAATATGGAAGCATCTCAGGAATCCAGTGCGTAAAATTAGAATCACAGGCAGGGCAGCGGAAGATACAAAATAGCCAGAGAAGCATACACACGTATAAATACACACATCACATCGTAAACTCGCTCCAGAACGATGGAGAGCGAGCTCCCAGTGCTCCCCACTTCCTGCACAACATATGCCAGAGTCGGGAACAACAAGACATGCTCCTGGGGATGCTGTGGAGGCGCCCACAGAGAGTAGTCGCCAGCGCTAACTCCCATACACTCTCTACTCGGTCTCTCTCTTTCGTTTGCGCTCTCGCGATGATATGAGCACCCCGATGGAATGGTATTTCCTATAGTTATACCGCTACAACGAGCCACAGCCACTTCGGCGTTTATTTCGATTCGGACCGTTAGCGCAGTCGGGTCGTCGTTCGTTGGCTCGTCACCAGAGTTCCTGTTTTGCGTGTTTCGGTCGTGTGCATCGTATTGAAATTCGAACGCTATAAAGCTGGGAGCATGATATTACGAATCCAGATGCGGGATAGAGTATTAATTGCTACTGCAAGAACGAGAACAAGTGCATAAAGATACCTGAACTGGACGTGTGTGATTTCAAAACAACAACAACAACAAAAACAACGTAGATGGGATGATTTTGATGTTGGAGTGATATTGTGCAAGGAGGCAAGACACCAACGGGATGTTCGCCCGTTGTCTGTGTGTGTCTGTGTGCGAGTGCCGAGTTTAATGAATGTGCAGATAGCACATGTGTATGTGAGGGCTGATGAAAAATATGAAATACTGACGTCCTGGGGACAACGTACGCAGGCCTAACAAACAAAAAACTAAGAGACTAAAGTGAAAGGCGATAAGGTTACAGATGTCCTGAGCACACACAAGGTACGCCCGGCTCGCAAGGAAACGATAGGACACTCAGGGAGGGGACAGGACAGAACAGAACGGGACGGGACGGGACAGGATTGTAACTGGATCCGGATACATGCGCGCCTCCAAGAAGGCCCGCTCCTTTGGTCGCCCTGCAGCTCACAACCACCAGCCACCAGCAGCAGCCACGAAAGGACGACAACGTGTAAGTAGCTGCTCCGATGCTTAGCTATAATAAGAACCCTTCTCCTTTTCGGACATGAGACACACAATGGGGACACTGCCCCTGCAGTGCAGTGCAGTGCGCTTCTCCTGCGCCACTAAGTATGCCGGTGCATATCTATTTTTGAGGTGCACTGAGTAGGTGAAGTGCGAACCAGAAACCATTGCATTGCCCCCACGAGCACACACACACACCCCTCACACTCGCTCAACCGGCGACACCGTCCATATCCATACAAAAGCGTACGACTACGAGTATTCAAGTGTAACTAAAGACGACCAATTCACAAACAAACAAACAAAAAGCGGCGACAGCGGCAACGGAACGGAACGCGGCCGGACGGAACCAAGTGGAGTCGGTCGGTCGGTGTGTTGTGTGTTGTGGGCGACCCACGAACCATGTGACCGCGGAGGAGGCCAGGCCCTGTGTCCGGGTCTGCTCGCTAATGTTTATTATGAAAAGCGTGCCCTTTGGAACGGCATCATGTATTTTTATTTTTATTATTTTTTTTTATTTTATGATTGCGCTTAGGTTCTCTGCTTTATGTGTATTTTGGTTTGGTTTTTCTTGTCAGCCAGCTATAGCCGGTAGGGGAGGTGAAGTGTAGTGGAGTGGAGTGGCGTGGCGTGGATTGTCGAGAAGCCCTCATGAGAGCAGCACTCAATTCATTGATCAAAGATGCAGCAGCTACAATTATAATAGTCACAACAACAACAACAACAACGACGACGAGATGCAGCGTACAACATGCCGCAATTACAGTTATAATTTGGGCTTGTAACCGTTATTCAAATTGAAATTGAAATTCAAATGTGAACTGCAATTACCAACCCTCCCCAACACGCGGCGGCATTGTGAGTGGGGTAACAAACAATCGCCAATTGGCATATAATGATCCCCTTTGGACGTTTTAACTGACTGAGCGGACTGACTGACAGACAGACGAAGAGAGAGAGAGAGCGAGAGCGATGGGATGGGATAGAGTGTCTACTACCAGCAGGGACATTCAAAATAATTCTCAGGCCTTGACAAATGCACGTAATGATTGGACTCACACTTTGGTTTATGCTTTTTTAACAATTTACGCGGAGCCTTACCCTTTACAAGTAACACTCACACTCGCATGTTCTCACACTTGGCTCAATCGTCATAATTTTAGGGGTTGTGCAACATACAGAGAGACATACAGCTGTTCCCTTAGATGAGCAAACAAGGGCTGGGGCATGGGAACGTCGGATAGCGAATGGATAGGAATGAGTATACTACATACTCTGCCATGCCCATGCCCATGCCCAATGCCCCTTGAACATCTTTGACTCCTGTGGTGATTAATTGTCATTCGGGGCAGTCACCTGGGCCTGCCAGCCTAGGCCTAGGCCTAGGCCTACAACATATGCATAAGAGCCCATTCGGGTTCGGGTTCGAGGTTCGAGGTTCGAGGTATATGGGACGCGACTTAGCAGTGGATTAGATGTCGATCATCGATATGCCGAGAAAGAATAGGCTCGTTTCTTTCGGCAGCGGCTTTTGTTCTCCCCCCCAAAAGATGAAAGTAGGTAGCTGAAACTGAAGCCAGAGGAACCATCGTAAATTGTTGTATTGATCCGACATCATCGATGTTGGCGAGAGCATAAAGACGGAATGGAATTAATATGCCTAGGATCTAGGTAGTTCAGTATCAGTTTGTGTACAGAACCTACCCAGTAGATGCCTCGGGTCGGGTAGATTCGAGGGTAGGTCTCTCAAACAGATTAACCAGTGTATCTTCGCATGGGGGCAGCTTTCATTGCCTCAACTACCAGCCATCGATTTTGCGTTTAGCATCATAAATTAGTCCAGCCCCCGACAAACTTTCGCCTACAATCTGATGGTCATCATTTGTTTTGGGCCTCGGGCCTCGGACTCGGCCACTTTCAGCCACATTAGAACTTTGCTAATAAGATACAAATGATAAGAGTCATCACCAGTTGGCCCAGCTTGTGTTGTGCTACATTCAGCTGATGGAATCATAAATAATTTCTTTATTGCATGCAGCCTGGCCTGGCCTGCTTTATCTCGAATATGTATCTCGAGTGGCATGTAGCAACATGCGTTCGCTCGCTCGCTCTCCATGTGACAGCAGTCCATAATTCATGGTTGAAACTTTTGTTTCTACTTCTAATTCCTCAACAATTACGCTTAATTAATTTAAAGATGTTTCTCGATGTCGATGTCGCTGTTGCTGTTGTTGCTCTGCTTGTACTCGTGTATCTCCCGTAGAGTTGTTTCATCATCCCCGCATCGTACCCCGCCCACAGTCATGGCCAAACGCTCGTCACATACATTTTTGAACAGTTATGAGGGAGGACTGGCACAGTCAGCGAGTGAGCGAGCAAGGCAACGTCTCTTATAAATAGATTAATTAAAATCATCTTTAATTGTTTGATTACAAGACAAGCGTTGCCCGAAAAAATTAAATGCGAGCGAGGCAGCAGCGATCTCACAATAGCTGCCACTGTCAGTCTGGCATTCTGGCATTCTGGGTGGGTAGGGGAGGCGAGGAGCAGAGTCAGAGTCGGACAGGAGTGTGTGGGCAAAATGCGCAACATGTGAAATACAGATGCGGCAGCGATTGCGATTGCTATTGCCATAGGAACCAGCACCAGCACAGCACGGTCCCTTGAGTATTAAAGATTTCATTTGTGCTACAGATGTTCCAGAGATTGTACAACATAACTACATACACTACATGCTCTCGTACGAGTATTGTCCAGGAGGAGGAGTCAGCAGCAGCAGCACACAAGAGTCACACGCAATTGAAGCAGCGGCATCTGCCACATCCACATCCACTTCAGGCAGTCGCCATCGCATAGCGTAGCACATACTCGTATCTGCCGCAGCGTTTCGAGTGGCATTTGATTTTAGTGCTCGAGTGCGCGAGTGTGCGAGTGTGCGTGAGTGCCCCCGAAGTATAAAAATTATTGCTGCCAAGCAACTGAGTCGTCAGCCATCAATTATTTTATAGAATGCTCACTTGTTTTGTGTGCTCTGCTCCTCCATTCCGTTCCGTTCCGTTCCTCCTCTTATTGTCTGCATGTGCGTACTCCATCCCACCCCGCCCCACCGCTCCTGCTCACTCTCCTACTGCTCTCTTTTTTATTTCGTCCGTCCAACCGAAGAATCTCTGTCGCCGTCTTCGCCTTCGTCATCGTTGTTGTTGTCGCTGTCGCTGTCGACATTTGCCCCAACAGAAGAAGTTCACTTGGAAGTTTTCATTCGGCACAGGAAGGGCTTCTCCGGTCCTCCGTCCTCAGTCCTACGTCTTTTGCGGCAATAGTTGTGATATTAAATTGAATACGACGCCGATTATCCCACGCAATCTTTCATTCACAACCATCCCATCCCATCCATCCATCCATCCATCCATCCGCCCAGCCTAGGAAGAAGCTGGGCGGGTCTCCTCCCCCACGTAGCTGGAGACAAGACATCGTCAAAGTTTGGCGGGGCTTCTGAGTAATCACCCCTTACAATATATGTACGTGAGAGTGCGAGTGCGAGTACGAGTATATCTGGCTATGCATCTCGAGCTGCCTGCCCGCGTGTGTCACACACAGTTTGTCAGTGGAGTGGAGGAGGGCCTCCATCCTCCACATGTGGGCTTGCGTGCCGAAATCAATGCAAAGTTTTTTTTGTATTTTCCGACGACAAGTTTGCTTTCAATAAATAAAATCGATTTGATTAACAAGTGCACACACACACATACAAACAGCCAGACAATGAAAAGTCGCTGATAAGCGCCGCGCACAATCCATTTGGCCTACTTTGCTTCATTAAAAACCTATTAAAATGTAATGCCCCAGCATCGGCATCAGCATCGGCATCGGCATCCAGTGATACTTACGAGTATATTGACGATTGGTGATGGATGTTCCAGCGATAAGGCAGACTTCCTTCCTTTGATTGAAATTGTCAATTTAATGTGCCATTTGTTGAATAATCTTTCCATGAGGCTGGTTTTGCTCTAAAGAACGAAATTAATAGTGTTTATGGGCCAAAATCAGCGATTTATATCCCGCATATCGATTTAATTTACTGCGAGTCGGATTATGGCTTCAAAGTGGCCCTGCAAATAACACGAATCTCTGGGCCTAGTCAAACAGAGTCTAGACAAATCGAAAACAAAACGAACCTCAATATTCCATCTATAATTAAATGCACACAAAACAAAATGTGTGTGCACATTACCCCATTGAAGAGACGGGTGGGGGAAGACCATTATAATCTGGTCAGCTACATGAGGCGCACACAGTCCAACCATCCATCCCATACACATCGACATCTACATCGACATCCATTTGTCCGCACCGCACCAGCACGATATGGAGAATATTGACAGACACTCAAGTGTCCACAAGCACCCTGTAAATCCAATTGAATTACGCATAAAAGGCGCTTAAGCCAAATGAAACGATGATGATTCTGATGATAATGAGAAAGAGGATGATGATGATGTTAATGATGATTGTCGTTTAAGCCTCCAATGAAATGTGTATTATTTCCCCTTTAATTTCTTATTACCCGATATTTTATTACGATTCGTGGTCACGGCTCCTGGGAGCGTGGCTCATGTCCCGGCTCCGGTCCCCTAATCGTATACACTTTTCACATATTTCACCGTTTCCGCAACATTTGCATATGGACTTTTTACTACTGATGCGCCTTTTAATGGACGTCATCAACGTCATCGGTGGGCAGCAATATGATTCGTGTTTGAAGTGGTGCAGGGGGGAAGCCAGAAGTTTTAACTTATGCATGATTAATACATAATTACAAAGCCAAACACATAAACCTCAAACTCAAACGCAAACTGAAACTCAAAGGCAAAGGCAAAGGCAAAGACTGAAGCCGGAGCTATCGCACAGTTCGTGCTGGTATGCATCCATCTCGCTCCCTCTACAGACAACTACCTAATAATTCAGAAACTCAGAAAAGACAAAAGGCGCATTTCCCACAACACAACAACAACAACAGCAGCAGCAGCAGCAGCAGAAGAAGCAGCAGGGGAACGGAGCCACGTCCCTCCGTGACACAACGTCCTGTCTAGGTGCGCTGCCCGAAGGGGGAAGGGGAACTGCAGTCTGTGGAGCATACTTATACCTGTTATTAATATTTCGATTAGGTACCAACGATTCGTAGAAGCCGACGCATGACTTGCATAGCTAATGGGGAAATTTTGTAACCTGTGGCCATTCGGGGCTGTCCTACACTTGGACTACTCTTGGTGTGGAGAGTATTGGCCCTTTGATTGATGATGACAACTTATCGATTACGCTCGCTGGGAGTGGGCAGGAAGTGTCGGTCGGCCAGCAATGTCATTACCAGCTTCATTTGATATATATTCAGAATAAGTGATATTAATCTGTGTAAACTATGCTCGCAGAAGGTTAAACGAAAAAATATGGTAGAAGAAGGCCTAAACCAAGGATAGAGTACCCGCAAGTCGGACAGCGTAGGCAGTGGAGTGGAGTGTGCACCTTCAAGATATGAACACTTTAGTCAATTCATAGACACAATTTGCCGCTTGACACACCTCTCAGGGTTCTTATGCCTGCCAGTGGATGGGGAGTGGATGGAAAGTCTTTTTGTTGGCCAGGCTCGGCTCTTGATTGAAAAAGTAAGTCCGCTTATAGGTTTTCTTTTATCTGTCTTTCCAGATCCCATTTACCACGTCAACAATGCAAGTGTGCAGCTAATGCTAATGCCTGCAGCTATCTCACCAAAGCAGAAGCAGAAGCAGCAACAGCAACAGCAACAGCCACAACTACTGCCACAGAGGCCTGGGCAGGTGCAACAGTCGCACAGGAAACGCAGGACAAAGGCAACCTGTGCGTGGCACTCAGGGAAACGTACAAACTGACAGCGAAGCAGCGAAACCTAAGCAGCGAGCATGACGTCGTCGTCGGTGATTAATAAAGCCGGAAATGTGATTATACTCATAGTGAACCTTCAGCTAGCATGGCTAGTGTTGGCCGTGGCAGGCAGGGAGCTGCCACAGGTGGACTACGGCAGCATGTCCGACTCCATGGAGGAAGCTGGCATCGACCCACTGACTGCCTTGGCGCCCTTCGCCAATGCACTGGTCACCGAGGACAGTGCCCCACAGAGAACCAATATTGAGTTGCTCAGCAATAGCAGCGAGGACGAGAATGGCCGGATGGGACTGGGCTCCGCCTCGGCAGGGGCTGGAGGCACGCTCCTGGAGGAGTTCAACGGCGGCAAACTCAGTGCCGCCGAAGGCAGCAATACGCTGCCCATTTTCCTCAGCGAGCCGGAGAGCGTGTTTGTGGTGAAGAATCGGCCGGCCATACTCAAGTGCAAGGCCTCCCACTCACTGCAGGTGATCTTCAAGTGCAGTGGCAGCTCCCAGCCGCCGCCATCGACGCACGACAAGCACGTGGATCCACACACGGGCGTTCACATGGAAGAGGTCACGGCCACCATTCACCGCGATCTGGTGGACGAGTACTTTGGCAAGGGGCCGTTCAAGTGCGAGTGCCACGCTTGGTCGTCCCGTGGCGTGGTCAAGAGTCAGGCCGCCACGGTGCATATTGCATGTGAGTGCTCAGCCCGTACCCAGGGCTGGGGGTTGATTCCCCCCTGTATTCCATATCCGTCGCTGTATCTCTATTTATATCTGCATTTATATCTCCCTCTCCCCCAACAGATATACGCAAGACCTTCGGCCAGTCGCCCACCTCGCTGCGCCTCGAGCTGGGTAGTCGGGCGGAACTGCACTGTGAGCCACCCGGCGGCTTTCCGGAGCCAAAGCTCTCCTGGTACAAGAGCAACGCGGCAATAACCTCCGACAGCGAGCCGGGGCTGGCCGTGGCTGGCGGCACACTGACCTTCCGCCCGGTGGCGCTGCAACACATGGCCAATTACAGCTGCAGTGCGGAGAATATTGCGGGAAAGCGGGTCTCCGACTCCGCTGTGCTGATTGTCTATGGTCAGTACCCCCCAGCGAATGCAATCCCAAGTTATACACTCCACTTACACGTACTCTCTGTACTCTTTTTAGTGAATGGAGGCTGGAGCACCTGGAGCCCCTGGCGCGAGTGCAAGTGCGCGGGCAAGCCGAGCCAGGGACGTAAGCGGTCGCGCACTTGCACCAATCCAATGCCCTTAAATGGGGGCGCCCAGTGTCCAGGGCCACAGATACAGAAATCTGCGGACTGCGCTGCCTGTCCAGGTATGTCCACACGATATATACATACATACGTACTACATATGTATCCCCATATACATATACATGAGAGATGTGGTGTGCGCAGCTTTAATGTGGGGAGTGGGAGTGGCAGCACTATTGTAACACCAGCCACCAGCAACGAAATTGTCAATTTAAATGCCATTTGCGGTCTGGTCTCAGCATCGTGCCACCTGAATTCTGCCATTCCCGCTGCCATTGACGTCTCCTGGAGCGTTGAGTGGAGAATGGCGCACATTTTTCATACAAGCAGCTGGTGGGGGCTGGCAAAGAGGGGTTTGGTGAGGTATAGGAAAGTCCAAAGCCGAAAGCCGAAAGCACTGCACTGCATGACGCAAAAGTTCAAGTGGCGTTCAAACAAACCAAACCAAAAAAAACGGGAGTACTCGCGGTCACTCCGATCCAAGAATACCCTTTGGTATGGTAGAGTTGCGCGTAGTATATTTTCCATTTGCAGCTGGAAACTCCGATACGAACAGCTCTCCAGCTGCAGTCATTATACCCCCAGTGTAATCTTAGTGCAATAAATATTTGAGTGAGTGCCGAGTATTTCATTTTAAACACGCATTCGGCTGGGCTGCTGTGGGTGCCTTTGCCTTTGCCAGTGACGACGACGACGACAGATATCTCCACATGCATACATATACATATATACGGATAGATGGATAGATTGGAGCGACTGCCTGGCTGCGTAGTTGCCGTTGGGGGAACGAGAACGATTCTGCCTGCGGCAAGCTACTGACTAAATGGTGACAAAGGCATCAGTGCAAGGGGGAAGGGACATTCTCCAAGGGCTCCGGACTACAGACTACGGACTACGCACTGGAGACTGGGGCCTGAGACCAAAATCGGGGAATGGGCATGTTCTGGTGGTGGTAGCTGGGGCGCTTCGGTTTCTTTTTTTTTGACAGACGCACGGGCGGCATGTGTTTGAGACTCTTCACATTTATTCATGTAAATTTATTGTATTGCATTGTATTGTAGTGGCTCACACACACACACACACACACAGCAAGCAATAGATACTTGGCCAGGCGCGCAGCGGGCACAGCAATGAGCAATTGTTGACAGACAAGCGGGACAAATGGTGAGGGATCCGGGGATTCGGGCGGGCAGGCTACTGTGCAGGAGCGATGGCAGTACACTCGAGTGGGTGGCTGGGCGAGTGGTGTGGGTGTGGGTGTGGTAAGGGTTTGGGCAGGGGGATGCTGTTGTGGGCTTTTATTCTATGAAAAGTGTGTCATAAAATTAATTTTAAATTTCGCTTGGGTTTCGTTTTTTTTTTTCCGTTTTTGGCGTTCTCTTCCATCTTATAACTTTTCATCCCCATGGAACCGTGTCAACCTTATGGTCCTGCTATTCACTCATCGCCCTGCCGCCACGCCACGCCCACGCCCACGCTGTGTGCCGATGTCGCCTGCCAACAACAGAGGATACTCAAATCGTGAGCACTGATGGATTTGACATTTCGTCGAGTAAGCGCAGTAAGTTGAAACGAAAGCCTGACAGTGTGCATTTCTTTCAAAAGGCTTCCCGAGGGGTGGGAGGAGAGGCGACAAGGCCTTTGGGGAGGACGCATTGGGGGGTTGGGCGGGCGAACATTCAATATGACTGACATTGTGTTCGAGCAGTTAAACTTGAATGCTTAACGAGGCAACGACAGTTAAATTTTTTAGTTGGGCCTCACCCCGAACCCCGTTCAGATCCCCAGTAGTCAGCATCGTTGGCCCTCTTTACAATTCAATAAACAATTGTGTTAAACTGAGCCCAAAGCATCAGCATCAGAACCCAACCAACCAACCAACCATTAGATTCCATTCATATCCATATCCAGCCATTGAGTAATTCGCCACCCAGTGCCAGGGTCTGCCCCAAAAACTACCCGAACTGCCTTTAGGCGAAGTGACTTACTTCTGTTTTTGGGGTCGTCGCAAAAAGTGACGTCATTGCGGCAGATAGAAACTTAAAAATCACTTACCAAGACTCACGCTCTCTGATTCATGCAACAGTCCCGGGGACCCTTGCCACACCGCCATGGCTGGCACGACGATGTGGATGGGGATGTGGATGAGGATGAGAGGATGCGCACGCTGGAATGGGGAAAATAAATGCCAGGGCATAGTGATGATGGGGCGACAAGTCCGAGCCTCAGTCTCTGCCCTTATGTGAGGGTGGTTTTATGTTTCCAAAAACAGGAAGTGCCAAATGCCGATATACATACATACGTATATACATATACATACATGTGTATATACTCTACATATTTTTAGCTGCCAATCCGAAACCCCCCAACTCTAAGAATATTTTTGTTTAGCTTTCGGACTTTCCGTTTTCTCCCTCAACACCAAAAATGGATATTGAAAAAGCAAAGAAAATGCGAAAATAGAAAATAGAAAAGCATTCAAAATGACAATCACTTTTGCTCACCCACACAAGAATCAACAGTGGCGCTGTGATTTGAATGGTGCCCCCAAGGAAGGGGTGCGGGTGGGTGCTCTACATTATGGTGGGAACAACTTTCGATTTCTCCCTACGGACCAGCTATTAGATCAACCACATCCACCACCTATTTAGGGCAAACGTTGCTATATTTGTTGCATCCATGACCGAAGTTCTGGCCCCTGACAGCTACGGGCATACAGCCGCAGCCACAGCCACAGCCACGTCCCTGACTTTGGCCTACACGTGATATATGAGGCCGGGAGTGGCGCTGTCGGGCGCTGTATGTGTGCTAAATCATGTTAATATGACTTTTGATTTCTAAACTCTCCTCTTTGCTCTCCTCTCCCCACTCTCTTCCGACAGTGGCCCGTTGGTCCGCGTGGAGCGACTGGAGCATCTGCTCCGCGGAGTGTATACAAGTGCGTCGCAGAAAGTGCCTGACGCAGACATCTGACGCCGATGAAGCCGGGGATCTACTGCTGACTGGAGTGGGCGTGGGCATGGCGGCCCTCAGCAGCATCAGCGGAAGCGCAGCCCTGCTGGATGCTACTGCGACTGATGGTGGCTCAGGATATGGCAAATCATTGTGCGCCGGAAAAGACACACAAACGGCCGAGTGCCGTGGCGAGCAGTGTCATATTGGCAAGGATGGTAAGTGTGTTTATGTCAGTGGCAGGAAGGACAGCACAGGACAGCGGGACTGCAGAACAGCAAAACAGACAAGGCGAACAGCAACAGAGTAGACAGCTAGACAACAATAACAAATCACAGTCGACGGAGACGGAGACGGAGGCACAGACGCCGACCAGGTCCCAGTTCAGTCTCTTGTGTCGACCCCAACCACACAAAAGCTGAGCACTCAACGCTGATTGTCACAATGGGAAATTAACCAAGTGCATTTTGTTTGTGCACGGCATCCATCCCGACCAAGAGTAGCTGTATTTATATTCGTGACAGAAAGAATGGACTTTCCACCCCCGCAAACCCATGAAACCCCCAACCCCAACCCCCAACAGACCCCAAACCCTAACCCGTATTCCAACCCAACTCCAGGCTGCAGAGCTCAATCGAAGGGTCGCAAATCAATCGCAGCCGATTTCGGAATTGATATTTAAGCTGTGGGTCTGTGTCTGGGGTCTGGGGTCTGTTTCTGTTGCTTTTGAGCTTTGCCAGATAATTAGGCATGCGGCGAAGACAACAACGGCAGCGTCATGTCCTCGCATCCCCATTCACATCCCCATTCGCATCCCATTCTCTAGCTCTCCCCCCCTCTCAATCAGAGCCATTCCCGTGTCATTGTTGCTGTTTGCTTCGATGCTCAACGGGGTGGTGGAGGTTGACCCAACTCAAGCATAGTTTGGGGTTTGTGTGTGCGGTCCATGGGGATCAATTAGATGGCTGTCACACTGTGTAATTGAAAGGATCAGGGCACAAGGACTTGCCATTCGCACAATGTTTGATGTTTCGCAGGTTTGTGCCTGGCTTTCATTTGATTGCTGTTGAAAAGTTTTCGAATCGGGAGACAGAATGAAGAGTGGCAAGTGGTTGGACCCCGGTACACAACTCTACTCGACTCTGCTCTGCTCGGTGCAGCTTATTTTCCATTTTATTACATTTTGCAAATCCAGTCCCCGGGGATGCCAATACCTACTTACAATTGTGCCAACGGCAACAGTTGCGGTCTTCCTTGTGGCTCATTGTGGGAGGCCCTCAGGCCATCAGGCCCCCAGGTCCCCTACCCCGGTCATCCACATCCGATATTAAAAGCGTATTTGTCATGCTAAGAGGACGACTACGCTTTTGATGTCCCGTCCAGGCACAATGTCTAAAAATAAAAAGCAGCATGCAAGCTGCACAAAGGAGGCGAAATGGAAAACGAAAGCCCAAGCCCAAGGAGTATGTCTATCCCGGTTGGGGATGACGGCTTTACTTCTGTTTCCGATGCTGCCGCTGATTTACAGCGAATATAATTGCTCATTTCATACATTGTATAATGCGTCCGCCCACTCCACGCCACACCCCACACCCCGCACTCCACACCACTCCACGCTCCACACTCCACTCGCTCAGCTCAGCTCTGTGAAAAGCTCGAGCTGTACATCCCATTCCGAGTATAATAATCATAATATATATATGGAGTAATTCCTTGCGCTGCAGCGATTCCTTTTCGCCAGCCCAACCAGTCACAGGCACCGTCAGCGCCAGCAACAATGACGACAACAATCACAGCAGCGGAAACAGGCAGCGCGCAACAATGGGAGTCATCGGGTGGGAGGTGGTAGGTGGTAGATGTGATGGGTATATGGGAGATGTGAGATGGGGATCGGGATGTCGCTGCGGAGCTGACTGGCTGGCGACGGGGGGCCGGCGGCGAATAATAATGCGAAATAGACGTAGCTGGACTGGGGATGAGCATACAAACATAAAACATTAAATACAGACATACAGAGCTCTCTGTGGCAAGGCACGGCACAGCAGAGCGCCAGATACGGATACGCATGGATGCTCGGGATTGATGACAATGGTTGAGGATGCGCCCGACCCGACCCCGTTTGATTATGGAAAAGTTCGGTTCTGTTCTGTTCAGTTCTGTTCTGTTAGGTTCGGTTCAGTGTTCAGTGTTGGTTCGGTTCGGTTTGGTTGACTCAACACTCATGTATGTACGGGCGGGCATGTGTGGATTTTTGCTTGCCATCCATGGCATCCTCGAAATCATGAGGGTGGCAGATTACGCAGAGAATTCTGGCTGCTTTTTTGAATACCATTCACACAAATATTGGATTTGGTTGATGTGCTGGGACGGTGGCAGCATCTTAAGTCGGCTTTAAGTACATGCAGGCCATAGTATCTGACAGATATTGCTCCTTGCGGGTTTTGGCCAACACACCTTAGACATGTTTCCATTTTGGCATAACTGAAACGCCCTTCTGCCGTTGGAATTACAGGATACAAAAGGCAAATTCAGCAGTTTGATAGGAGTTTGCTTTGCTTTATTATTGCAGATTTCGATTGGACACTTTATCTGGGACTGGCCTTCATAACCGCCGTTTGCTTTGCCTTCGGCGCTGCTCTCATTTGCTGCGCCCGTCGCGGAATGCGCGCCAATCCCCACTACAACATGGCCCGCTCAGGTGAGTATCGGGGTCCAACGACCCCCCCACTTTACGTTCTCTGGCAACAATCGAATATATGTTTGTATGTTTGGCAGTCATGGATGCGGATTATATGCCCGGCGTTGTGGAGAAAAAGGAGATGCGAATGCACATCGAGGCCAGCAATTTGGGATATGATTATGTCAATCCTGGACATCGTTATATGCCCGGCGAGCATATTGTGGGCATGGGCATGGGCATGGGCTGCGGCGGTGCAACAGAGCATCACTACGATGTACCCAACCTGGCGGCCAAGTAAGTTAACAAACAAATCGAAAATTTATTCAATTTGCCACTAGTTCGACTTTATACCCTGTACTCCAGGGGTATTTTGTATAAGTAAATATTAATATGAATCTAATTTCAGCTACACCAATCCCATTGACGATCTGAGTGCGGACTATTTGTCAGAAACGGGCGAGTCATCCACTGCCGATACATGTAAGCAATTCAGCTAAAATCCATCTGCGAAGCATACTAAAATTTCGCACCTCCGACAGCCAATTCCACCTTCGATATGAACGCCAAGCTGTCCATACTGAATGCCTCGAAAAGCAGCAGCTACGAGCTGCTGGGCAGCACTGGCGGACAGCTGCGCCTGTACGGCGGGGAGCTGCTGCTCTTTGTGCCGGAGCATGCGATTGGCAAGAGCCTGAAGAAGCACGTCTCGCTGCAGCTGCTGAGCGATGAGTGCAGCCGCGTGTCCTGTGCCACCGAGAGTTCCATATTGTGCAGCAGCGTGGTGCACAGTGCTCCGCGCAACTATAGCTTTGTGAAGCCGGTGATCCTGAAAATACCGCACTGCCTGGTGGCTCCGGAGCAGTGGCATGTGCACATCTACCACGCAGACAGTGAGCACGACGAGCTGAACGTAAGCTGGCGGCGAGCTGTGTCAGTGGGCGAAGAGACCATCAACACGCCCATGTTCGTGCAGCTGGAGACGACGCATGTGTACATCATGACGGAGCAACTGGGGCATTTCGCCATCGTGGCCGAGCCGCGCATTCAGCAGCCGGCCATCAAGATGAAGTTGCTGGCCTTCAGCCAGCACACGCCGCCCAGCAGTGGCAACTGCAGTCTGCGCATCTACGTGGTCAAGGACTTGCCCAACAGCAGGGACATCTGTGCTAGTGTGGAGTGCAAGCTGGGCGGCAGCTTTCTGGGCGAGAGTCAGGTGTTTGCGTTCGAGCTGAACAGCCGCAATCTGAACATTCGCGTACGGTGCGCGGAAATGGAGGCAGCCGCGCCCTATGAGCATGCCATTCCCTACCATCACATCCTGAGCAACAACTCCATACTGCACTGCGAGTTCAGCCTGCGACGGCAGGACCAGAGTACGCTGTGCGTGGACTTCGGCCAAGGTGGCAAGGATGACTCGGACTACTGTACATTCAACATTCCAGCCCACTCGGTGAGCGGCTCTGCGGAAGAGCTGGCCTCCACCACAAACACAACGATTTCCATAGATCGCCAGGGCAACTATGTGAACGAGAGTTGCGTGATGGACTTTGTCCAGCTGCCGCATGTGACGAAGCGCCTGATCTGTGCCGCGCTCGATCCGCCGCGCGCCGACGAGCGCGACTGGCGTCTGCTGGCGAAGAAGCTGAACACGGATCGGTATATTGCCTACTTTGCCACCAAGCCCTCGCCCACCGAGCAGATACTCAATCTGTGGGAGTGTCGAGCCAACAGCTGCGCCACCAACAGTTCCACCTCAGTTTCCCATACGATAATGGCGCTCCTGCTGACGTTGAAGGAAATGGGGCGACAGGACGTGCTGGACATTATTGTGGAAACGATTGGTCCGCTGTGGATCTAAAAACGCATCGAAAGGAATGCGACCAACTAGACGATGGCACAAACTCTTCCTTATTTCGCCAGGTTTCTCAACGAGATTAACACACAAGAACTGAATCGAAACGAAACGAAACGAACTATCTATGTATCTGCAATGTTTGTTAATATGAAATCACTGTGAATCGAATGGTGAGGGGTAGGGGGAGCGTTCTGTTGAAAACAAAAAAAAAAATGTTCATGAGTTGCCTTTTATTTAAAAAATGTACGAACGAAGCAAACAAAACGAAATCAGAAAACATGAATCGAAATTAATAAATACTGAATCAAAGTGTAGCTGTAGTCATAGTCATAGTCATAGTTATAGTTATATAGTAGTCACTAAGTTACGAGTATTGTAGTGTTGTATTTATTCTAAGGTAACTGCTCAACGAACTCTGTTCCCCACGGGTGCCATGCATTTACATACATACATACATACATACATATATACACACATGAATATATACTAAAAGATGAAAATATATTGTAGAGATAAATTACTTGTGGCTTAGCAAACTTATAGTTTTAAACATAAACTCTAGTATTACGATGAAAACTATGTACGATAGCAACTGTAAGATATATACACATATATACATATATGGCAGTAACGACTAAACTGATGGCCATTCAGGAGACATTCAGGGTCTGGCCCTATCCGTATATATAGACAGCCTCCCATATGAATTGATGAATGTTGGGAGTTGTGAACTGTTTGCCAAATCGTTGATTTTCTCAGCCTGCTCGATTAACGTATAGTCACTATTGGATGAACAGAATTAAGTAATCAAAACGAAGCCATAACATACATTTACCTACGCATATATAGCGAGTATATATACATTTATATATAGAAACAAAACGAGTAGTTTGTTAGACATGCTCAAGTGATAACCATTGTATTTGTCTTTAGCTATAAGTCCTGTCGATCCTGTCGTTTAATCGTTAATCAAGTAAACATTAACTGAACATTTACGTATTGTATACCTAGTGGCTCAAAAAAAAAGTTAGATAAAAATAAAATATAAAAAAACAAAAAAACAAAAAACAATTTTACTGCAGAAGCTTTTAATATCCCTTGCAGAAAAAGGAGATGGAAGTTGTTGTTGTCATTAAAATGGAGCTACAACCAACCATCCCACCAGAATAGGCCCACAAATGGCAAAAAATTAAACATTTATAGAATCATCAGAAACTAAACATAATCCGCACATTTGAACTTCGCGGCTTCTTTCAACTTGAAAATGAGTTTAATGGCGGCGAGCTTTTGTCACAGACAATGATACAATTTATATGGCTAGCAAAAGCTAAAATGTATGAAAATGCAGCGCCATTGCTAGAAGTAAACTCTTCCGGTTTGCCGACTTTTTTTCTTCTTCTTTCGGTTTGAGGTTGAAACTTCACATATAGTGGCGCTGGCAAACAATAAATTTCACTGTGGCGCTGCGGCGACTTTTTGAACTAGACGGTGAAATTTTATACCGCCGGCAGGTGGCTCTCACCTAAAATTGAGTTGAGTTAAGTGCTGCAAAGTTTCCAAAGTCTCAGCTTGAATTTCGTGGCGCCAAGCTACGTTCCCATTATGATTGTAATCCACGCTCGTTTTTAAATTGCCTTGTTTATGGGAAAAGTTCTGATGCAGCAAAAACAAACAAAGAAGCAGAAGCTCAGTATATTAATGTAAATATGTATCAACTAATTAAAAGTACCAGATAACTAGAAAATAATTTACACTTCTTCTTTACTGTTGGGCGCTCCCTGCCTGCTGTTTCCTATAGGTAGATTACTGCAAGGGTATGTGTAGTTCGGCGTGCTTTGCCTGTGTTTTTATGAGTTCTTATTTATTTAATTTGACGGCATCCATAACCTGCTATATGTCGCAACAAGATCAATTGATAGACTGGATTTCTGCACTCTCGTAGCATTCTTGGGTAATAGCGGCTGGAACAATTGCCATGAATTCGAGAAAATTAAGATACATGCAGCTACCAGTCAAGTTAAGCAATCAGCGTAGAGCACGGCAACGGCACGGCGACTCGGACCTTTTAACGAGCTAAAGCTATAGCTAAAGCTAAGGCCGAAACAGTCAGGTCAGTCTGGACTCTGGCCATGGGTTTGGGTCCGGCAGCAATTCCACAAATAACAAATCAATAATTTCATGCAACACAAAATGATTGCTGCTGCATCGGCGGCACCTTTTATATCCCTCACCATCATACGTATAAATAACTTTAAGCGATTGCGGTGCGGTTTTTGCTTCATCTCCCAAATAGAAATCTACGAAGGCCACTTACATACAATACTCGTACGTACAAACAAGCTTGTATGTGGGGGAAAAAGCGTCCGTCGAGCCCCCTGCCCCTACTCCTGCCCAGTCCTGTCGCCATCCCATCCCAGCCCGATACCATTCCCGTCCCCGACAGCAACTAACTGCTGGAAAAAAAAGAGATCCTGGTAAGAGTAGCCTCGTCGATTGCACTAGCCAACAAAATGGGAATTTTATATTTTAACTGGAGCCAAACCGACTTTTATCCATAGACTTGGGGGCTCCTGGGCTCAATTTTGGCTGTTGCATAGTGTTATTGGCAGCCGTCGTCGACTGCTGTCATCGTCAATTAGTTTTCTCACCGCAGACATAACAATATATTTTATGTATCGTTTGCTGACTCTTGCATTTGTGTGGAGTTGGTTGTACTCGTATAGTCGTAGTAGTCTTGACCGCCGAAGGTTTTGCATTTTTCAGCAGAAAGGACAGCAGAAGCATCGACTCGATTCGGCTCGGCTCGTCCAATATCGTTGTCGCTTATTGAAAAATTTCCTAATTGGGTTGAAATTCCAATCTAACAACGATTTCGATTTGGCGCTGACAATTTTTAGCTGCCGCTACTGATGTGGTTCTGGTTCTGCTTCTGCTTCAGTTTCGTCGGTGTATCTGTATCTGAAGGCGGCGAGACCTCGCCGCAGCTTATTTCGCAAGCTACAAACTTTGTGGGAATTAATAAGTCGAAGCACCCGCAGGTGCAATATTATGGTTTTAGTCTTTATTTTCATACCTTTGTTTTTTTGTTTGTTTGTTTTTTTTTTTATTTAACTGTAGCATGAGTCCTTCAATCGGGAGTTGGGTGTAATTTCAAGAGTACGATTGTATGCATCCGCCACATTGTTTCGCTCGAGAACTGTGCAAATACGTACATACCACGAGTGTGTGTGCAGGCAAACGGAAGCGAGCGACAGCAACAGCAACAGCAACGCCTTCAAGTAATGAGTAAATGTTGCAGCAAACCAACCCACACATGCTCTGAAAGTCTGTGGTTGAAAGGGTAAAATTGAGAGCCCTGCAATTGCCAAGATTTCTGTGCTATTGCCCAACAGAAATAGATTGCAGAGCCGACCCACAAGCTTTAATATAGCTATCCATTTCAGGTCATTCCTCTCCTGTGTGCCCAATAATTTGCATGCAATTCGACCAAAAATCAATGGCGTAAGCGAACCTTTGATTAGGCCATAGCCAATAATTGCAGAGCCAGCTGACAGACCAGACCCGACCCAGCTGCCATTTTGTATTTGTCTGCCCTCCGCAAAGGGCGTGAAACATGAATTATGGCTGCTGCTGCTGCTGAGGATGTTGCTGCTTGAGCCCTTGTCTCGGACTAAGACAATGGACGGACGAACGGACGGACGGACGGCAAAGCAGCATTGATCGCAAGGCGTTGAAAGCGCTGGATAACCGCAAAAACACAAAACAATACAAAATACTCTGAAACGAAAGCAAAGCAAGGCAAAACAAAAACAAAAACAAAAACGAATATGCAGCCAGCCTGCAACATGTCGAGGCCTCAATGGACAGTCCGGACTGTGGACAATGGGGGTCCATCCATACATACGTCCTATACATAAAACCAACGAAGACACAGGCCACTTTCAGGCCGAGATCCAAGAAATTGCAGACGTTTCGGTTGTATTACGAATTTATCTACCTGAGCAGCAACCATCGTCAATCGTCCATCGACGTTGCTGCTGTGCTGCTGCTGCTGCTGTTGCTTGTGTTGCTTTTGCAGTTGCGGTTGCCGTTGCCGTTGCTGTCGTCGGATCCCCAAGGAGCAGCATCATAATGGCCACCGAACGCCAAACCTGGTGCTTCTGCTACCACCAAGCCACCGAGACTCTATTTGCGACCTCCGCAAGTTTCACAGCCACAGCCACATCCACATTGCCATTGCCCGATGTTTCGCCGTTTTCAGTGGAAATTGCAGTCCGAACTGTGCCCGAGTAGTGGCAGTGGAAGTGGAAGTGCCAGTGCCAATGCCCAAGGTTCCTGGCTTATCAATACATTTGATATCTTTGCTGTAGGCACTGCGAACGTCGTCGCGACGTTCGTGGCATCCAATTGGTACGCTGCATCGAAGCCGCAGCATCCAACCGTTCTCGTCCTCGTTCTCGCCCTCGCCCCATCCGCAGTCTCCCATCGCCACGGCCTGTTGGTATTTCTTTTGCCTTTGAAGATTGGTTGCGTTTGCGTAGGATTCATGTTGTTACTTTGATGTGGACTGCAAGTCAACGCCATTGTTGTAGTTGTAGCTGCCGTAGCTGCTGCTGGAGGAGCTGCTTGGACGTCAGTTAACATTTCGAATGCCATACAAATCGACTATCGGACAGTGGCAATGGGGACGGGGTCGGGGACGGAGACGGGGACGGTGGACGGCTGTCGGGGTTTTGTTTTTTGCTCAGTGGCATTGTTGTATTGAATTGTAGCTGGTAGTTCTGTTCTGTTCTGTTCTGTACAATGTTTCAATTTCCTTTTCAGTAAACATCGACAAACAAACAAAAGAAGTGGGTTTTTGGGGCCTTTTTCCCTCCCCCTTTTTTTTTTTTTTTTTTTTTTTTTTTTTTTTTTTTTTTTTTTTTTTTTTTCTTTTTTTTTTTTTTTTTTTTTTTTTTTTTTTTTTTTTTTTTTTTTTTTTTTTTCCCCCCCCCCCCCCCCCCCCCCCCCCCCCCCCCCCCCCGGCCCCCCAGACCAAAAAAACCACCCCCCCCCCCCCCCCCCGCGGGGGGGGGGGCCAACCCCCTTTTTTTTTTTTTTTTTTTTTTTTTTTTTTTTTTTTTTTTCTCTCTCCCTCCCCCCTTTTTTTTTTTTTTTTTTTTTTTTTTTTTTTTTTTTTTTTTTTTTTTTTTTTTTTTTTTTTTTCTTTTTCTTCCCCTTTTTTTTGGGGGGGGGGGGGGGGGGGGGGCCCTTCTTCTCCTTTTTTTTTTTTTTTTTTCTTTTCTTTTTTTTTTTTTTTCCTCCCTTTTCTTCCCCCTTTCCCCCTCCCCCCCCCCCCCCCCCCACCCCCCCCCCCCCCCCACCCCCCCCCCCCCCCCCCCCTCCCCCCCCCCCCCCCTCCCCTTTTTTTTTCTTTTTTTTTTTTTTTTTTCCTTTTTTTTTTTTCCTCTCTTCCTTTCCCCCCCCCCCCCCCCCCCTCTTTTTTCCCAAAAACCAATTACTAAACTGGCAAAATCGAAAATTTTCTCATTTTCAATGGGCACCATAGGTAACTCTGCATTTCGGTCAGTGCATTTATTTGTGAGCTTGTTCGGGCCAGGGATATGTTAGGACCAAAACTGTGATGATGGAAATAGAAATAAGCATAACGAGACTATAAATGAAACGCAAATTGGTAGACGCGTATTGTTTTTGCGGAGAACAATGGTGCAGATTCAACAGAATGAAGCATTTTCGAAGCATTCTGTATTTATGCACGAAGATAAGGAATTATAACGAATTTATAATATAATATATTATAATTTATTTATAAGGAATTAATGAAAATATTTCAAACCAGCATCAATAGAAAATTGAATGGAAATTGAAATCGAATACGAGCATGCACCATGTCCATTTTCATGTCTGTCTATTTTAATATTCTAAAGACTTGGAAATTCTAGTTTATTGAAATTCCCTTCACTATATCATCATTTATACAAAAAAGATTGCCCTGGCAATATCCTTGTTCTGTTCATAGCTCAGGGGAATCGAATGTG